TGCTCAGTTCTGGAACATGGGTCCCTGGGCCACCCTTGCAGACTTGCAGTCAATGATTGAACATGCGTTGTAAAGTCCCAGCATATCCTCTCCTGTTATAACATCGGCATTGTAATAGGAATACATAGTGGAGTTGTTATTTATAATGCAATCAAAGCTTACTGGGAAATATCCCTTTTATGTAGTGAGTGCTGCCTTCCGTCTGTCCATCACTTCCACCAACAAAAATTTTGCCTGAAGTTTTTCTTTCAAAAACCTAGCCTTGCGGTGAGGCTACCAAGGGTTAAGTGGTCCTTTTGTCTACGGGGCTAAAATAAAGCAGATATACTCACCTGATCTTCGGTCCTGCGGCGGTCAGCACTCACCTCTCTCCCCCTCCGCTCCAGTCCCTTGGTGTCCTCACATCTAATGTAAGTCAATAGACCTGCAATAGACATGATAACGGTCCTTAAGACTACCGGAGCCTGGGGAAAAGGGGTTGCGGGGACCGGTCTAGCTGCCCGGTGGGACCGAGGTTTATTTGAGCCCCCTAGACAAAATGAGCACTTAAGCCCTGCAGCACCGGGGTAGCCCCCCTGCAAGGGTAAGTTTTATAAATTCCTGGAGTTCTTTTTACTGACATCACGGGTCCTTAGACTGCCAGAACCCAGGGGAGAAGAGGCTACAGGGACCAATTTAGCAGCCTGACAGGACCGAGGATGAGGTATAGAGGATAGAATAATCTGCTATATTTGAGCCTCCTAGACCCAAATGAGCACTTAACCCTTGCAGTGCCAGGGTAGCGTCACTGCAAGGGTAAGTTTGTTACATTTCTGGAGTTCTTCTTTAATACTTCCCATGTTTCGGCTATGAACTTAGACGTTTGTGTTCTACTGTAAGTTCTCTTCACTGAAAAAATCGGCAAAACACACATTTATTTTTTACTGGGGGGGGGATTAACTTTTGCAATATGACTCTATATCATCAACCTCCATCAAGAGCATATCACAAGTTGGACCACCCAGAGATTGCAGCTTCACACTGGGTGACGGCAGATGCTGCATCAATTCTGCCATATATTTACAAGTCATTTAGACTGGTGGAAACAGACAACCTCATTACTTGCCGCGGTGCCTCCCAGTATACAGTCAATGCACCGCTGTGCTGCCTGGATAGAACGTAGGAGAGCTGAAACAGATACCGAGACTCCATGTGTCAATGTGTTGTATTATTTTCTTTCATTTAAAACAGAGCTGAAGGAGAACTTCTATTGAGTTAAAAATCATCATTGAGCTTACATGGGATAAAGTTGGGTCCATATATGGGCCCCAAGCCATGTGAGTGCAACACTGTGAGTAATTGTGCTATGTTATGGCACTCCTTTGTTTTTTTCTGTTGTCTCCTAATGCACACTACTGCAATACCGTGCATTGCGGTGAAAAAAGTAGTGTAGTGCATGGTATTGCAGTACCATGGGTTGTGCTGTGTTGCAGAGAACGGCGGCCAGGAGGTGCATCAGTGTGCCATTCAAAGGAATGGCAAAGCTATACCCCTAGTGCACAGTAATGTGCAATAGCAACAGGTCCATCCCCCATAATAAGGCAGCCAGAGGCGGCATCTCTTTGGGTCACGTGTGGGGCGGCAGGCAGAGTGGCATGGCTGCTCTGATCTACAATGTTTGCGGTGTGCTTGCCAAATTTCTAAGGGGCGGATGTGTAAGGGCCATCTTAGCAACCAATGGTTGCCAGTAGCTGAGCGGGAGATGTGTAAGGGCCATCTTAGCAACCTGTGGTTGCCAGGAGCTGAGCGGGAGATGTGTAAGGGCTATCTTAGCAACCAGTGGTTGCCAGGAGCTGAGCGGGAGATGTTTAAGGGCCATCTTAGCAATCAATGGTTGCCAGTAGCTGGGCGAGAGATGTGTAAGAGCCATCTTAGCAACCAATGGTTGCCAGGAGCTGAGCGGAAGATGTGTAAGGGCCATCTTAGCAACCAGTGGTTGCCAGGAGCTGAGCGGAAGATGTGTAAGGGCCATCTTAGCAACCAGTGGTTGCCAGGAGCAGAACAGGAGATGTGTGAGGACCATCTTATCAACCCATGGTTGCCAAGAGCTGGGCGGGAGATGTGTAAGGGCCATCTTATCAACCAGTGGTTGCCAGGAGTTGAGCTGGAGATGTGTAAGAGCCATCTTAGCAACCAATGGTTGCCAGGAGCTGAGCGGGAGATGTGTAAGGGCCATTTTAGCAACCAGTGGTTGCAGGAGCGGAGCGGGAGATGTGTAAGGGTGATCTTACCAACCAGTGGTTGTCAGGACCTGAGCGGAACAGTGGTCAGAGCGTCCCGGCTTACTAAGAGCCTGCAGAGGGCGGC